AAGGAGGGAGAGAGAGAGATAGAGAGGGGGGAGGGAGGGAGGGAGGGGGGGGAGAAGGAGGGAGAGAGAGAGATAGAGAGGGGGGAGGGAGGGAGGGAGGGGGGGGAGAAGGAGGGAGAGAGAGAGATAGAGAGAGAGGGATTTTGATATGCAATGGTTACTATTTCTATAAATACATTTATTATAGTCATGATTATTTCGATTATTATCAGTTGTTGAATCATGAGTGATACTCACTTTTGCATTTTGAGGTTTTTGCACAATGTGTTGTCTGGAGGGCTTAACACCATTCGCTAGTTTCCTCTTGTATAGGATGAACTTGCTTCTCCTCCTGCCCTTGTCTCCCTGCGGCAAGATGCCATTGTATCTGAGACAAAATAAAAACAAAACACGGTTGAATACCCTACCGTGCTGAATTTGCTACGTATAGACACGCATGGGCATCTCAGTCTCATTATTAAAGATGTACTGGAGTGATGTGGAAACTTACAACGGGTAGTACACACAAATGTAATTCTCGATCGAAACCTAGAATGCCACGCCTAGCTAGATACACTGGTTACCATTTGGCTGCGTTAATTATACATGAAATCATTATGGGTAGCATTGTATTGGTAGTAATTACTTATTTCATGTAAGCCAAATAAAATTCTGGCCAGTTAGCACTTTAAACGACTGGCTTAATACTAAGTTAGCAAACCATAATCCCTGTAGCAAGGAGGGAGTGGATGGGAGCTCTGGAAAGGATGTACGTCATATCATGTATCATGAGAAATGCGTCATAATTTAGCACTGCCGAATCGTAATTTCATTTAATTTTAAAATATTTTTGTAATGATCTAAAAACATTGGCAAATAAGTGTAGACGCTGTATCAGCTGCAATTCACGGCGTGTAGTAATAACAGTACAGTCGATATTGTTGACATTCCTTCATATAGTCATAATACCTCTATGACCTCAACAAGACTGCGATATGATTATATAAACCTCCCTTGCATGATTAAGGTGTAAACAATAACATATATATTACAGTACATCGACACTGTAGGCACTGCACACAAAAGATGGGACAGGAGGGGTTTTCTCTGCCCGCCGCCACGCAATCAGTGAGCACTAATTCATAATATTCCGGCATAATTTCAGCGAGGATTTTCATTTTCTGGTTCATTAACGAGATGAGCCTCTCTCACTTACACGCAAATTTTAAATTAATTATCGGCCTGTCAAATTACGGCACACGACGGTCGTCCGCACGTCAATTCCCATGGCCCGCTAATGCATCAATCGACGTGTAATTCACGGAGAAAGCGCGACTAGCAAGCCACGCCACTTTAGCGAAATGTACACACGTGTGTGTCCCCCTGCTCTTCATGGAAAGCCTGACTGGCAAGCCACCACGCCACGTTAGCGAAATGTACACACGTGTGTGTCCCCCTGCTCTTCACGCAAAGCCAACCACCACGCCACGTTAGCGAAATGTACACACACGCTTGCCCCTGCCCTCCACGCAAAGTCGCTTAGCCTGTAACACACGGGAACGGAATCCACTGTTGGCAGAGTCTCCTGCGAGCAACATCAATAGCCCGCAGGCTGGCTTCAGCAATTGCGACACAGACTCGCCGAAACACGCCTTAATAGACGCTGGTAGGGTTAGAGGCGCGGTGTCATACCGAATTTCACTGACCCAGTCTTCGATAAACTTTACTCGCACAGCTATACTTCAATTTTCAAATACAATATGAGAATGTGAATCTCTCGAACGAATAGACACCAAAATATCAACAGACAAGGACAGGAAGCAGCAACAGCCAGGCAGGCAGCAACAGGCAGGCAGGCAGGCAGCAACAGGCAGGCAGGCAGTCAGGCAGGCAGGCAACAGGCAGGCAACAGGCAGGCAGGCAGGCAGCAACAGGCAGGCAGGCACTGGTTGCTGCCTGCCTGCTGCCTGCCTGCCTGCATGCCTGCCTGTTGCCTGCATGCCTGCCTGTTGCCTGCCTGCCCAGGCAGGCAGGCAGGCAGGCAGGCAGGCAGGCAGGCAGGCAGGCAGGCAGGCAGGCACAGGCAGGCAGACAGGCAGGCAGGCAGGCAACAGGCAGGCAGGCAGGCAGGCAACAGGGAGGCAACAGGGAGGCAACAGGCAGGCAGGCAGGCAGGCAGGCA